ATTTTTCTAAGCTGCAATTATGTATTTCTCCTTTTTATTTATTATAGTCTTCTTCTTTTTAAAGTCTTGATTATTTATCTATTTTTACAATAATCTATATTTATCCAACAAAAGTTTTATATTCCGACAACTTTTTAATTTAGTTTAATGAAAAATTTTATTTTTAATTTTCGATTTTTTTTTAAATGAATTAAATTACTATTTTATTAAATATTTTTCATTAGTAAAGCGCTTCGATTTATCATCAAACTTAATTTCTGTGTAACGAATGAATTATTTTTAAAGTGGAGAAGTCTAAGCAGTAAAGATATTATAATATCAATCATCTAATTTATAAATAGTGAAATTTAAAATCGATATTCAAGAAGTACTAAAAATCTGATTCATTTGTTTAAATTATTTAAGTTGAGTTAGACAAACTCATATCAATGATTAATAAAGTTAATTAATAATTTAGGATAAAATAACTGTTGTTTTCCAAAATTAGATTTTTCAATTTTAAAAGGCTAATTTGAAGTATATTGATATAATTGAATCACTATTTGTATTGTTTATTTGAGCTATTCTCTCATTTAATGTTCATATTAATTTGATTAAAGATAGAAATGTAATAAAAATAAGGCAGATAACTTTTATTACTATCTAAACTTTATTACTAATAATCACATTTAAACTTAACATCATTTCTTTATTAAAATTATTTGATTCTGGCTCTGGAAAATTCATTTCCTTCTAAAAATACTTTATTAATGAAGTTGTTTTCTAAGTAATTCATATATGAAATGATTATATTAGATAACTATGATAATCACTAAAATAGATTATATTAATATCATTTAATTCGAAGGATGAAGAAATCTAAAAAGGATTCTCTTCTTTACTTTCTCCTTAAGATTTTGCTATATCTTACATATACAAAAGCAGTTTGCTTAAAAGTTATAATATATTGCTTAAACTTTATTTTTTGAAGAAAATTTACATCAAACATACTTGATCAATATTTTCAACATTAGTTTATATATGTGAATTTTATAATTGGAAGAATTATTTAAGAAGATAGAGTACAAAAAGGTTAAGTTCAAATTAATAAGTTAAAAACTATAAGCATAAAGGATTAATTTAATTTTATTTATCATTTTCATTTAAATTATGTTAGAAATGCCTATCCTATATTTTTAAAGTTAATTTGATAATTCATCCAACTAACCAAAGCTAAAAACTAGATAATCATCCGTACAATATAGTCAAAATATTATGAATATTTATCACAGATCTAATATAAATTTCACTCAAACTCCATTCAAATCAAAATAATTAATCCAAATATCAAAAATAAATATCTCTCTTTCTAATTTACTTCAAATAATCTTTCTAATCAATTATATTAATTGTTGGGAGGGAATTTAATATTTGAAAGTCAGTAATTAAGAAATCAATTTTCAACAGTCATTTATATTTATCATTGATTTACTTTTAAATTAGAATACCGCCCATCTAAAATTGAAGTTTTAAAATAATGATCTAAAACAGCTAGATCATCAAAACTGCTTTCTATTATATAATTGAATTTTATTCTAAATTATTCATTATTTAAAAACAACAAATTTTACTTCATGCAATACTATCTCCTTAAATTTTGAAATCATAATCCAAACAACAAACCATGTAATCAAAACATTTTTTAAATATACTATAAAATATCCAAATAAAATTCTTAATTAAGTTAAACTGTTTATTCAAACAACAATTAAATTGATCTTAAATATCGTATCTAAAGAAATATCTCAAAAATAGGCGCAGTCTACTTTTGGGAGTTAAAAATTTAATGAAATGCTATATTTTATATATTGCATCTGTTATAGTATTAAAAATGAATTCTTAAATAAAAACAATCATTTTATTATTATTTTTATCAATATATTCTAACATTTGAACATTAATAATAAATTGAATTAATTTATTTTAAAACTTCATCTAATTCAAAATGATAGAAATTTTTAAAATTATAAGAAATGAACTAAAAATATTATTAAACATTAAGTTTAGTATCCATATAGGTTAAGTATTCTAAATAAAAGTTACTAATGAAAGCATGATGTATTAATTCCATGAAGTAAATATCAGTTTTAGATATATTAATTATCTAACATAATAGTTTATTAAACTTATTGTTTTATTTCTTCATTTGAATTCTAAGTCGACTATGCATGTTCTTTTTAATTAAATATTTCTATTTATGTAATTATCAATAGATTAATTTAGATAATTTCGACCTTTAAGTAAGGGTGCCATAAAAATAAAACCTTAAATCAAATTATTCTATAAGAATAAATAACAGCAAAGTGTAATTTAAATTATTTTTGTCTTTAAATTGATATTATCATAAATGCTTTAAATCTATTATATTTTAACCTAATTATTCTAATGAATATTCATCTGCATAAATATGAATTATAACAAAAGATTACATAAATATTACTAAAAAAATGCAAAGTCTTAGGAGCATTTTATTTCAAAAACACCAATATAACAAATAACTGAATATTAAGTAATCCTATATGATTTAATCATTTAGTAATTTTGTAAGAGTCTACTCCTAAAAATAATAGAAATATAGCAGATTTACTTTTTGTGGTTTCATTATAAATGCAATCAAAAATAGTTTATGATGGGTAAGTATAAAACTAACCAAATATTGAATTAATAAATGCTTATTTTCTAATAGAATTCTAGCAGGTCTAATATTGTTTTAAATTTTTTATTCTTTACCATAATAGATAAATGTATTAATGATTCCAATAAAATTTGATAATCATTAAAAAAAAGAATTCAACTTTTCCTTTTAATTCATTTCAACCTTCTTTCTTGCTAGTTAATTCAAATATTAAATTTCTGCTCTTTCCAATATTTTAATGCTACTTAAGTTTACTTGTAATATATAACTTCCCTTTTATATTCATATAATTATCTGATTCACTTAATATGTAAATACAATATTTATTCTTTTTATGGTATCTCTGGTGCAACTTTATTTATTGATATCAATCTCCTTTATAAAGATAAATTTGTTTTTAATTCACGAATAGTTAAAATTTAAAATATAGATTTAGGACTTATTATTAATTCAAGTTGACATTCTGTTATGAAATCCTTAGAATATTGAGATTTAGTGAATATAAATTAGTTTAACGTGTTGGAATGTTTTATAATTTAAGACAAGTTAGATAGCCAGCTAATTTGGATTAGAAAATTGAAATAGCTTTAAAATGATTTTTAAATTTTAAAGTTCAATCTCTATGACTAATTTTAACACTTAATTATATTTGTTAGCCATATATTCAAATGAAAATAAATTCTATACCTTTTTTTAAAGAATTTTTAATGCTTAATAATTACTTGTTAATTGTATTGGTGATTTAGAAGAAATTAATTATCTATAGAAAGAGCATTTAGTTTTGGATAACAAAGACCTTTTAAAAAGTTTTCTTCTGAAAGCCTCTGCATTGTTAAGAACATAAGTCATTAAGTAACTTCAAGGTCTCCAAAGTTGAAGTCTTCAAAGATGATACCTCATTCTGTAGAATAAAGCGGGATTTATATTTTTTGTATTCAGAAGTATAAATTGATTAATATCAAATTCGAAATAGATTATAAGTTTGACTTAAAAATTAAATTGAGTACTGTTTTGAAGACAGAATAGTAAAAGTACACAAATTAAGATAATTTTAATGATAAAGCTAAGTAACTTAGGCCTTAAGGAATTTCATATCAAGACTTCATAATCAAATCAAATATTGACATGATAAAGTAAAGCTCAATCTCTTATTAATCATTTTCTATAGTGGAATTCGAAGAAGATTCACAAAAAAGTAATTATTAAAACAATTTAAGATCATTAGATCATCTAGAGACAAATTAATAATAAAATTTTCTATTGATTACCATTAAGTTTGTTTAAGAATGATTTTTGAACTTTAGAAGTCAATTTTTATTTTATCGGAATAGTTTTTTTCGTCTGTCAGCTCTTAATTTTAAACATATATTCATTTTAAAATTTCTCTAAGCAATACATTATGGATTTAATGTATAAATTCTTATGCATTTGAGTACATTTCCTAATTTAAATCTCCTTTAAACTGTAATCTCATGTTTTTAATTACTCTCCATCACTCAATAATCCATAATTACATATATCATTTAATTCTATAATTTATTTATTTATAAACATGCATTTTGTTCTTCCTTATTAAATTGATATTTAATCATTTTTATTTTCCAAAATACATCTTGAATTTAACTATTATTATGGAAATAAATCATGACAACCAATTGCATTACATTCTACTTTAATTTCCTTGGTCTTAATAAATTAATTATTTATTTCATTCATTTTAATATAAGTTTATTCCAAAAGTTTTAGTTATATGAATACTTTCTAGTTAAAGTTACTTTGTAACAATAATAAGAATTATTTTATTCAGAAAATATTGAGTATAATAATATTATTAAGTATAAATAAAACATAATATATATTGATTTTGAAGAATGACTTAACAAAAATATATCAATTCATTTTTTCTATTTGATAACAACTGATTCAATAAAATTGTTTATTAGAGCAATTCCAATAGTTCTGAAAATGACTGATGCATATTTTTGGTGTTCCATCAATTAATTATTTTAAATCATCCCATCATTTCAATCTAATAAATGAATTATTATTATTTAATTACCTTAGCTATACAACATCTCTTTTTTAATTTGGTGCCAAAATTAACCTTGATTTCACTTCCTTATCCAATTAATCTTACATTTATTAACTCTAGTATTTATATAATTATGATACTAATTCTGATTTTTTACTTAGTTATCTTTTTTCGATTAAATCCCCAAATGAAACACAATTTTAATTCATATATTCTGCAAGTGTAAGGGATAGTTTAAGTAATTTGAATCCAGGAGCCCTATTATGATAGGAATGCTTTGAGTAAATCCTTAAAAGATATTATAAAAATTGTTTCTTTCTAAATATTTCTCTATTTATTATTAGTATTGTAACTTATTTGCCTAGTCCATAAGTTATACTTTTAAATTAATATAATATTAATTATCTATCATATACAAACAATAAGTTCTATCCATTGAAAATGAAAAATTTAAGAATAAAAATAATTTAATATTTTATAATTAAGATTTTCAAATTAAATCAATTCATTTAATCATTCATCTTCTAAACTTGAATCTGAATCCAAATCACTTATAATTAATTCATGATCTTATTTTCCTAATACTGATGAACTGCATTTTCTCTTTTTCAATAGCTTAAAAATTTCTTAGCAACTTTTGTCTTAATTCCTGCTTCATTATAACTATCTTCTCTTTTAAACAATTTTACTTCTTTTGATCATAATCATGATAAGGTGTACTTTATTTTGTTGAAGGAGCCTTTCTTAATGCATTGAAATTTATATATATGATTTCTCAAAAGACAGTTTAATTGTATACTATTTACCACCATATTCATAATTAGACTTTTCTTTATTTTAATTATACATATAATTACTTATTCTATTGGTACTATTATCTCCATGTTTGATCTAATTAAAAAGTCTGGTAGTTCATAAAAATAATATCAAATACTAAAATGATAAGAATAATAAGTTGATGACCAATTAATTATATGATTTATATAAAAAAGAACATATATAATCATCGAAACTTTTTATTAATTCAATTTTCTCAATAATTATCCTTTTTCTTTAACTGCCAATTGATAGAAACCTTTTAATTTGTTATTTGTCTTTTGAATTAATTCTTATAAAACGATATTTTGTAAAGTAAATAATACCAATATATTTTTTATGATAACTTAATTATAATTTAAAAATTGAAACAAAGCAAAATTATTTTATTCTTTACAGCTATATTAATCCATTTGTATTAATAATTATTATATTATATTAAAATTGATTAATTTAGAGTTATACTTAATGCTTAAATTTGTTAACAAGAACTTTATTGTTTAAAAAATACATAATTAATATCCCATAAACGAATGGAGTTATCATAACTGCCAGATGCTATTGTACTTCCATTAGGTGAGAGGCACACTGATGAGATATAGCTAGAGTGACCATCCAATTTGGCCTTTTATTATCCTGTCTTAACATCCCATAAACGGAT